TAAATATATTTCATTAAGTAAGTAAGAAATTCTGCTATAAGTACTGGTTTTATGAGTTCCAACGTAAAACTAATCGATGAATTCAAAAAATCCGATTAGAACTCTTTCTGACATACACATATGTACATAATAAAGAATGGAATATTTTTAAATACTAATCTCATGTTTTGTAATCTGGATGCAATTACATTTTGCTTCTATCATTTTACTTGGTATAATTACAGACGAGTTTTACGTTTCGGTATTGATTCAAGTTTGACATCACTGTAATGGATCTCAAAAATCATATTGCTGGCGCATTTACTAGTTTTGTAAGTCACCGTTGTTGAAGTGTAGAGTGCGTTAAAAAAACCAGTGATTTTTTAGTAAATCGATATTTCAGGTCACGGGCCACGAAAATCCGTAAGATGCAGTGTCTATTCTTACACCTCGTCTGTGATTAGGGGAATGATTTCTATGATTGAACTAAGATTTCTAAGACTGATTTCTAAGATTGAATCTTTTCGCGATAATGTGTGATGCTTTTTGAAATATTTTGGAAAATCGTAGAGTTTAATTTTTCCTAAAGCTGAAATTTTTTTCCTTTAATTTTCCTCGAGGAGCAATTAAAAAAACTCCAAAATGTAACTGGTTTTCGTTGCAACTTCATGTGCATTGAATTGCGCCGCGTTGTGGCGAAATGCCGGATCTAATCTCTTCGGGATGAAATTAAAAAAAATTAAATTTTTCTATCTATGTACTGTTTCAAGCAAATTAAAGAACGCTGAATGACCAAGATCCATCTCTGTCAAATATCATATCGATTACCTACGAAACTAATCGATTATATGCGATTAAAGAAAATGCCTTATTTTCAATATGATGGCACTAAATGTACCGATAAGTCTGGTATCCACAATTGCCGATAGATAGCGTCATAGTGTGCAGATGTGTAGCGACATCTATTCAATCTTATAAGAAATTCAATCTTATAAAAAATTACCATGGAGATATCAACAAATTATTGGTTACCATGTTACAAACAACTTGCCGAGAATATATATAATAGTAAATAAGAAATTAATAAACAGTCATCAGTCGTTGGTCGTAATTCATCCATTATAAATTCTGTATCATGTAAACGTTAAAATAAATTATAAAATTTTCCTTTGTAGTACGGTGACTTAATTATTTATCGATCATCGTACCTACAGACTTGTAGTGACGATGTCCGATAAATTAGAGATTCACGGTACTACAAAAATAACTAGACAATTCGTTACTATTAATATTTTTATTTAATAGCAATTATTTAATAATATTATATCTTTTATAATAAAATTAATTAATGAATTATTCGTATACTTAAAACTTTGGTGTTGATATACAATATTAAATATTTAACGTTCTATCTATTCTCTACGTCTCTAACCATCCATCCTGCAACTCTTATTTATATCCTCACAGACTTGTTGAATCTCCTTGACAACCACGTACAAACATCTCCATAGCAACGCCGATCTTCAAATGTTCTCCCGCTTTAGAGCCTAACAAAGCCGGCGCCGTAAATTCATCTAAAATGGACTTTTCGATGATATATCCGCGAAACAGATGTCGCTGGTATAGATGTCGCTACAGACTAAGAACAAGGTGCGCCATCTGAGTTCCTCTCAAAAGAATAAACAGGAAAAATTCAAGAGATAGCAGCACGTCCTTTTTTGCGTGTAGTTACGATAACGGTAAATAATAAAATCACCGTACAAAAGGAAATTTTATACTTTATTTTAACGTTTAGATAATACAGAATACAATGGATGAATGACGACTGTTTATTAATTTCTGTTTAAAACAACTGTTTTATATATATCCTTGACAATTTGTTAATAACTTGGTAACCAATAATTTGTTGGTATCTCCGTGGTAACTTTTGATAACACAATTGAATAACAATAGATGTCGCTACATCCGACTAGATAGTTTCAGATTGACGCGATAAATCGCAAAACCTCACTTGCTGTAGACAAGAAGCACAATAACATGTAACAAAGATAGTGATAGCGTTTAATTTGACTATTTTGCCGCTACGCGACGCTAGCATCTTTCATTGATTACGTATCGAACAAATTTTCATTTGCAAAAAGAATTACTTTTCTATTTAACTTCAATTATTCATAATCTTATATAATCTTCATATTATCCTTGAATGGAAATCATAACTATTCATATCGTAAAATATAAGAACAGGTTTATCAAATGATCCATACATTCTTCCTTTTTTTATTCCAGATGTATTATAATTGTAATTCATGTTGCATAGCAGATGTACATATCGAGATTAATCTCTGTTATTTCGTTTTGCACGATTGGACATAAATTATTATTTATACGAAAAAATGCATTATATCGTTTACTCGCCGAGTTGGAAATGCAAACGGACATATACTTTCGAGTATAAATTAATATAATTTGTGATAATTCCATTGATAAAAAAATACAATTGTACGTTCTTTTAAATCTGTAACGTATCGAGATTATGTATTAGGAAAACTACGTTATTTATTTTGATAAATATCGCACGAACGAAAAGAACTTATGTACCGAAATCAGTATTCCGAGATCGATATAACGCAGAACACGCGTCATTGATATTTAATGTGTAGTAAGAAATCCATTCGCGACTTTTAAACGTATAAAGATTTACAAAAACTTCTTAATAGTATTTTATAACTGCTACTCAACTTACGAATGAGATCGTATCTCATTCTTCGAGGAAGAAATATTGTCCAGCTTTCTTTTGTTCCAAGTCCTGTTAACAATAAAATAGATAGATACGTTTCAAAAAAAATTTGTGTCTCAAAGAAAGGTTAGTTGCTTAAGACAAAGTAACATACTTTCACAGACTGGCTCTTGTTAATTCTCGGTCTGAAATTGTTCGGATCTCTTCTGAATGTAATACCTAAGAGTTCCAAGAATCTGTTCATTCCGTTTAATAAAGACTGCGGGCTATGAGCAACGGTTGCTAAAGACGGAGTTCCAGAAAATACAATTACACGATCGGCCAAGTATGTAGCCATGATGAAGTCATGCTCTACAACGAATCCTGTTTTCTTGGCGTGTAGAATAAACCTGAAATCGCATACTTCCAATAACTTCCTCAAATAATACAGATCAACGCAAATAGTCAGGATTTTCAATTACCGTTTTATTACTTTAGCTGCAACCAAACGTTGCTCCGAGTCCAAATAAGCAGACGGCTCGTCGATTAAATAGACATCGGCAGGTTTTCCAAGACACAAAGCTAAAGCAACTCGTTGTAATTCCCCTCCGGAGAGATTCTGTACCTCTTGATCCATAATATCGTCTATTTTCAACGGTTTCATGACGTCTGTTACAAATTGAGGATGAACGTAAGCGTCCCTGATTTTCTCATGCAGCAATTGCCGTACGATTCCTTGAGATTTGGGACTAATTTTTTGTGGTTTGTAACTAATATGTAATTGCGGAATACTTCCTGCGAAAAATGAAATTAAATCTTCTATAAGATCATTTTTATTACGTAAAATAACAGAAATAAAATACGCAAAAATTACCTACCCGATCCGTCATCAGGTGGCAAATTACCAGCCAACATTCTAATGAATGTGGTTTTCCCCGTTCCATTCTCACCAAGTAACACGAGAATTTCTGAGTCTGTAAATTGGCCCTTTTCAACGTTTAATTTAAAAGAACCCATTGTTTTCGTCATCGCGGGATATTCGTAATGATTCATGCGTTTGACTTCCTCCTCGGTTGCACTTTCGGCCACTTTAAATACAAGAGACTCCTCGCGGAATCTCAAATTTTCCGTTGGTACAAACCCATCGAGAAAAATGTTGATACCTTCTCTAACAGAGAAAGGCATGGTAACAACGCCATACGCCCCCGGAACGCCATAAAGGCAACAAATAAAGTCAGATAAATAGTCTAAAACTGACAAGTCGTGTTCCACTACTATTATAAACCTGTTGATAAATTTGAATGACAGTTTAGATTGTGCAGATAACACTTTTATTACGTTATTTCAGCTAGCATTTTGTATTACTTACTTATCAGGATGAATAAGAGATCGAATTGTCAAAGCCGCGTTAAGACGTTGCTTTACATCTAAATACGAAGATGGTTCGTCAAACATGAAAATATCTCCGTTTTGAATGCACACCATAGCACATGCAAAACGTTGAAGTTCCCCACCGGACAATGCATCGATACCTCTGTCACGTATGTGCATTAAATCTAAAAGAAATTCGATAATTCAATTGCTAAAGATCAACTTTCTTGCTCGAACTTTGTTATTTCGTTGCTGTTCTTAAATACTCTTGAAATATGTTGAAAACATGAATTCATGATAAGAGCTTACCTAACATTTCGCAAATTTCCAATTGATTTTTACACTCGTCTTTTTTATCTAAAAGCTGTTGCACAGTACCTTTCACAGCTTTAGGAATTTGATCTACATACTGAGGTTTAATAAGAGCTTTTAAATCATCTTCTAATATTTTAGTAAAATAATTTTGCAATTCGCTACCTCTAAAATGACTTAAAATTTCTGTCCAGTCTGGTGGATCCTGTATATTAAACGAGTTTAAGGAAACTTCATGAACTTGTAAATAATATAAAATAATTCATATTATTTAAAGAAAATATGTAATTGTACATACAGAATATCGACCTAAATTAGGCTTTTGTTTGCCTGCCAAAATTTTCAGAGCAGTTGATTTCCCAATTCCATTAGTTCCAACCAACCCTAATACTTCGCCAGGCCTTGGAATAGGCAGTCTATGCAGTTTAAATGAATTTTTTGAATAGCGATGTGTTGTTTCTTTCTCTAAATTACTAGGAAGATTAATTATAGATATTGCCTCGAATGGACATTTCTGAAAATACAAATATACATTGCAGTCATTGTTTGCTTATTGCTAATTTAATATGATGTTACACTATGTTATATTATATTTTATTATTTCTTTTAAAAACTTTTTACCTTGACGCAAATACCACATCCGATACATAGTTCTTCAGATATCGATGCTATCTTACTATTTGGATTAACTTCTATACAGAGTTTTCCCATTCGTACTACCGGGCAAGATCTTTTGCATTCTTGCCTACACCGTTTTGGTTTACATTTATCAGAATTGACAATAGCGATACGAGTTAACCGGTCGGTTTCCTCCATTGACTTTTTTGGAGGCATGATGGTAAAATATTTACCTGCCTGAAAATTACATTTAGTAGAATTTAGATTTAACAGAGGGATTATTTAAAATCTATTGTAACGTTAAACTCTGTTGTATATAAAGTACTCTTCTTGAATATTAAATACGCGTGATACAAAGTTTTTAAACAGTATCTATTACAATCACGGTTAATCGCAAGCTATTAAATAACAAATACACGATCGATAAGAAAAGCCACAATTAAAATATAACTCTGAAAGATACGTATTCAAACGATAAATATGTATTTAAACATAATGAAATAATTGAACCTGTTCAATCCCTGACAATGGTAAATATTATTAAATTAACTACTTGAAAAATAATTCAACATATGTTCTACTTAGATTCCGTCTGTAAACAAATTTTTTTCAATTAGGGTATAAAATGAAAGACAGCAAATTAATGTCATACATTAATTATATAATAATTCCCATATATTTGTATTTAATTAAAATGTTTAAATACATGAAAATACAATGCTTAGTTTTACCACGAGTTCCTAACCTCGAACAATTAATAATAAAACATACTGCTGTAATAGTATTTTATAAACACATCGCATAATTGGTAAAAGTAATTTTTTTTCGAATGTGTATTATGCCGTTACTTCGTACTATTTAATACAGACGTGTACAAACATATACCTGTCAAAACCAAAAACGTGGAGGAAACTCCTTTACAACTCTTACGAAGGAGCTTCCGCACTCGTACACCACCACATGCCTCGACTTCAATCATAGACTATGAAAATCACACAACTACGTACTGGATACGAGGTGTCTTTCAAATAAATTTTAACTCTTACAATGATTATAACGTTTCCCTAACTGGCAAAGGTTTATTACTTACGATTTAATTTGAATGAATCAGATAATTTCCGGTAAAAATTTATATCATCGATTTAACTCTTAATTTAATTTGATTAAGAAAAATAATAATAATAAAGCGATTTACAAACAAGCGAAACATATAATTGTTGTCGTTCGCAAATCGCATTGTATTAAGTAATTATATTGTATATATTAAGTAATTATAATGTATTAATTTTATTTTTAAGCAATTTCCATTAGATTTTTATTAATGAACATGAAACATCGCAACATGAAACATTGCAACAGGAAAAAATGTTACACCGTATGGACTGAACGAAATTATTACAAATTGAACTTCTCGGGTGTTTCCAAAGATTGTTTGCGATATATGCACGCCACCTAGGTTGGTATGTTACATCTCACGAAGGATTATAAAGATTTGTTCTGAAATTTTAAGCATAGAGTACTAGGAATTGCTTGTATCTTCTGATTTTGTAGTGAGTACTGTCATTTCGCTTTCTCGAGACTTTGGTTCTCGACTTCTCGTTACCGATGTACGCGAGCGGACATTAGCCTAACCGTATTTGGTTTTGAAGGTGTATGACAGTTCTTGATGCGTCTTTTATTTCTATAATTTACTTAATTGACGCAGTGTTGGAGATTAGTACGTTATAATGTAACCATAATATTTACAATATATTGTTAGATGTAAGATCTTTATGTTTATATGTTACATGTTGTAACAATTTTTACAAAGGTGTACCACTTTAAAAAATGGTTTCATATGTATTTTTTTCTTTTTCAAATTTCTTAACTTCTTACCTAAAATGTGTCACCGTCGTTGTCATTATTATTATTAATATTACTACTACTACTACTACTAATATGTAGTTATATTACAAATATGTAGTTATATCTGTGTTTTATAGATTAATTTTCAGGAATGTTTTCGTTAACTTTCGTTTGTCAGTTAGATTTGTTATAATCTATTCTTTACGATATAGTACGTTACATTGATGTCTTTTGTAACGCTTGTTTAAAATTTTTCTTTTATCTTGCGGCAAGTTCTGATTAGTTTTCTTTTTTATAAAAAGAAAATATTAATATTAAATGTATTGATATATTTTTAATTTATGTTGCGATATAGCTGTTGCATCGAGTGGAATGGAGCGAAGTATTCATGAAATGTTGAAAGATGCTCCATCTTTAAATGATAGCGATAGCGCGGTTCATAGTGGAACTCCTCCACCACATATACCGAATAATTGTAATAACGATAGTCAACCTAGACCAGCTACGATAAATTTAACATTGGGTAGTCCTACATCTCAAATGTGTAAGTGAAATTTGTGCTAATAAAATCTAACGTGCCGATTGTACTACCATTGTAAAAAACTTATTTCGATAAAGTATTTTTGTGTAATAGCTGTAACAGTATCTCCAAATACACCTATACAGAATGGTGATACGCAAACAATGCGTACTGCTCAGAGTAAAATTGAGAGCATTAAAAATTGGAGTATTTCTACATACAAGTGTACAAGACAATTAATGTATGAAAAACTTGGGAAAACATCCCGCACAGTAGATTCAGGTAAGTTACATGATTTAATGCCATTTATATTTTATGTTTATTATATAATTATAACATCTTTTCGTTTATAGAACTTGAAACACAAATTGAATTATTAAGAGATACTCAAAGAAAGTATTGTAATGTTTTACGATTGTCTAGAGCTTTAGCTTCTCATTTTCATCATGTTGTCCAGACGCAACATGCTTTGGGAGAAGCATTTTCTGAGTTGGCACAGAAATCTCCAGAGTTACAAGAAGAGTTTCTATATAATTCAGAAACTCAAAGAAATTTGACTAAAAATGGTGAAACATTACTAGGGGCCTTAAACTTTTTTGTTTCTTCGGTAAATACACTTTGTAATAAAACTATTGAAGACACGTTATTTACTGTACGACAGTACGAAACAGCAAGGTAATTGTTAACATCGAAATTTTTTAATACTGTACAGCTCAAATATATTTTGTAAATATTTATAAATAAAAGAGATTTCCTTACAGAATAGAGTACGATGCCTATAGAACAGATCTTGAAGCATTGGCACAAGTAACGAAAAACGACAGCAGCAATGCAGCAAGATTGGAAGCAGCACAAGCACATTACGAAGAACATAAACAAAATTTTGAAAAATTAAGATCAGACGTTTCAATTAAACTTAAATTTTTAGATGAAAACAGAGTATGTAATTATATTTAATTCTTTATAATATTATACTTTAAGTACCACAAAGTACCAAAATAATAACAATATTGTTATTCTTATTGCAGATCAAAGTAATGCATAAACAATTGTTATTATTTCACAATGCAGTCTCTGCCTATTTTTCTGGAAATCAAACCGCACTGGAAGCCACGCTGAAGCAATTTAACATAAAAGTTAAGTCGCCAAATTCATCCTTGCCATCGTGGCTTGAACAGTAGTTACATTAGAAGAAATACAAGTTTTTCAGGAAAAACACACATGAATAAAAAAATGCATTCGTCCATACGAATTTCTTCTTAAAGAAAACGGGAATAACAAGGTAGAACAACTTTCAAAAATTCTTGAGCAAGTACTAAAAGACACTGCTGTCGAGTAATTTGTCTCGGTATCGATAATTTTTGAAAAAAAAAGTGGTATCTAAAAACAGACTGAATTTTTTCTGAATTATGCTTTAAACACTGGCCAATATTCCTTCTTACGTGACATACGTATCAATGAATTTTAATTATATAATTAATAATTATATTGAACAGTTTATATTAATGACATCTGTTGAAAGATCTGATGAAGATTCTCTTTATTCAGTAGCAGTGCTTACAAAACTTTATGAGCAATAGATATTTAATTTTTATATTTGACTTCTTAGAGAAGTTCTAATGTAAATATATAAACTATCATATATTGAGCTTTGAATTTTATAGTATGTACAAAACAATATTGATGATTTGTTTGCATTACATTTTGCACCAGATTAATAAGTTTTTTATCTCTTTTAATATTTAGATTTGATGGATTAAACAAATTCGCAATTAGATGATTTAGTATTTCTCATTCCATTTTAAGTATTAAAAATATTGACTGAATTTTAATTTTGGTTCTATTACAATTACTAAAAATATATTCCTTATTTTTATTGTATTTATGTTATTAAATTTAGTTTAATTTAACAAGAAAACTTAAAAATAATTTTGTAAGAGTTAGAGTATCTTCAAGTACGTAGGATGTTCGTAAAGGATTATATCAAATATTAACAATATGCAATGCTAATTAAAATTAATAAAGAAATATAAATAATAGATAGCTTTTTATTTAATTTAATAAGCATTGTATACTTGTGAGTTTGATATCATTTTTGAATATTCTATATATCAAATCTTCAATATCTCTACATTTTAATTAGTACATATAAATTTAACATTGACTTTGTTTACAATCTTTTTCTATCTACTAATTTTTATGTCCAAATCAATAGTTTTAATAAAGATAGGAACGAATCACATGCTTATAATTAGCCTAATCATATTTTTAAATTAATGGTACTTTCTGTGTACAATTGATATTTGAACAAAGCTGTTTTTAATCGTTTAATTTATTTTTTAAATTATGTTATCAATTTTTGCATGTCAGATTTATGACAGAAATATAGAATAAGTAACTTTTTTTTGTCCTTAAACGTAAAACATATTGTCGTAAGATGTGAAAGATAATATGTGAAAATGTTTGAGTATCTCAGTATAGAAAATACAAGTTTATTTAAATTTATTTATATAGATACCATAGTATCGGTTTGTTGAAAAGAAGAATTAATTTTGATTAATACGTTTAAAGAAACGGGAAACTGTTGCAAAAACAGATTCAAACTAGTCATATTTTATAAGTGAATATTTAAAAATCAAATAAATTGTGTGAAATTATGACTTATATGCTTTGATATACATTGACATTATTTATACAAATTTGTTTTTTTGAAGCAGCAATACATATTATGTATATTGAAACATTATAAATTATTGCGCTTCGTAAATAGGAAAATTTTTAGTATAGATATAATAAATGTATGTATATTATCATTATCGTTTGTTGCTTATACTCAGAGTTTACACCGACATTGATAATAACTTAAAATTGAATCTATTAATATTATGACATCATCGATGCATCTTATCATATGTTTTAAACTAATCCTTCCAATGTGATCGTAATACAATAAATTTTTGTATGTACATATGATAATATGTATGAGTGAATTGCACATTGAATAAATGTAGAATTCACTTTTAAAAATTTTGCGAATTATCATTATTATAAATCTACATTTGTGTATAAAGTAAAAATTATGATCCATACTATAATAATAATACTTTATTTTTTTACACAATGCAGATTGACTTAATATATAATTTCTGAAGATTATTACATTTTTTAAAATATTTTATTATTATTCTATAGAAAATACATTCCGTTACTTAACAGGTTTTTTAGGAATGTTTAGACCAATAAAAAGAAACACTGTAATTAAACAAAAATAAAATCTTATATTTATTAAGTAGGAATAAGAAATAACTTGAAATATGCGGTTGAAGAATGTTTTAATTTACAAAATGTATTGTAGCTACTATATTATGTTCCTAATCATGATGTTATTGTGTGTATATTATGTGTATACAAACTCCAAACAATAAATGAATGCTTATATATCTTGCTTTGTATGGAGTTTTGTTAATTACTAGCATCGTTTTTATCAAGATAATAATGGCAGTATTTTATATTCATTATTCCCACAAAATACATATACATCTATATATAAGTGTTTTATAATATATTAATGTAAATAATGAGAAGTAACAATAAATACATATTGATTATGTAACTTGTAATATAATTAGTTTAATTACAAAAATGTACATATTTAATGGAAGACCTAATTAACTAGCTAGTGCTTTCATTGTTCTGTTCTTCTTGTATTTCTTCTAAAGCTTTCATTTGTTTTTGATATTCTTCCATACTTCTGCGAGCAATAACAGGTTGCACTTCCATAAATACTTCCATTATTTTGTGATTTGCATGAATGTGTTTGCCCGAACAATTTTCTACACATTGAAGCTACATCAAATTTATATTTTCAATACACTTTCAAAAATTTATACTTTTTAATACACAAGTATTATATATGTATGTACTTTGTAAGTAAAATCAACGAAATACTTTAAATTTAATAGTGACAAATATACCTCTTCTGTAGATACGTCCCTTGACATAAACGTACTCACGCATGTTTTAAAACACATTTCAGACATCTGATTGAACAAAAGTTGAAAATCTCTCATCTATAAAAAATACAATACGTAATTTATAAAATGTAATTTCATCGGTCTTTGAAATACAAGAGATGAGGTTATAAATAAATAATCAATTATTAAATATAAATGATTAACAACTAAGTACATTTCTAATAACAAAAGCGTCCATATTTATGTTGTCTACTTCGTTTTTCAACTTGAATAACAAATTTATAAAGTTATGATATCAGGCGGTTTTACTATTTTGCAGGTTATGTCATCATGTGAGCGTACTTTAAATCAGTATCGATAACCTGAATATCAACAATATCGACAATATGTTTCGATCGATGTTGTTAAATAAAAAATCGCATATCAATAATTTTAATAAAAAAAAATTATTAATTAATGAAATAACGTTTAAATTATGATCTTTTTTCAAATTCATCAACGACTGATACTTTACTGCATTTGTGTGTTGCATTATCAAGATGCAATGAAATTACTTATAAAATTATTAATTGTTTTCACCTCTTCTTATAAGATTAGTTGAAGGTAAAAATATTGATTTCAAAGACTTGTAGTGATAATTTACATTCCTACTTGTAAGAAAATTAGGTTTGCTACATTTAATACATTCGAAATGCAGTTATTTGAAACCTGTTGAAACCATAAATTCACATAATTAACTGATTAAAAATACGAACGAAAATTTACGCGAAATAAAAGAATGACACACGGTTATTTAAAAGATAAATGATAGTAGCAGAACAAAGAAAGAAGTTTCCACGGATTAACGAAGATTTATTAACGTTACTCGAAAAATAATAATTCGTACGCGTCGACGTCGAGCAGAAAAAAATAGACGACAATCATAGAGCAAAAAAAGAAGTTTCCACGGGTTAACGAAGATTTATTAACTTCTTACTTGAAAAAGGGAGATAACAATACGCATTGACGTCGAGGAAAAGCGCGCTTTCGTCGGTGCGATTCGGCAACGTTCGGGAGTGTTCGGGCCCGAGCGAGCCGCGATTGGTCGATGATCGGTCGCGGGTTCCGAGTCAGCGAAACGTGAATCAGTTGGCGTTGACGGGGCAAGGAGTGAGAACGGGGCAGTCGACTGGAAGCGGTGTCCGTAAACGAGAAATTTGTCGGTGCGAGGAGTCGCGCCGGTGAATGAGGCGAGCTAGCCGTTACGTGCGATGGCCGCGTGCTACAGCGAGCAGGCATCGTCGAGCTCGGGGAACGTAACGAAGAAGTCACCTGCGGCCGCCGCGAAGCCGGTCTGCTGGCAAAACAGACTGTTCGGTAAACAACTGTCGCGGTGCAGTCAGGTTAATCAGCAGGACACAAAGCCTTGCGACGCGAGTGGCACGCTCGTCGACGAGGACGGCCGGCCGGCTTGTGAAGTGATCGGTGTTTACTTTAGTTTCATTAACCCCGGTGCTACTTGCGATGACTTTACGCGTCAGCTGCTCGACTTGTACACCAATGTCAATTCGCCGTCGTCGTCGTCGTCGTCGTCGACGCACATTGAAAACGACCGGGACGCGGAGAATTCCACCAAGGGAAGAGAAAGGAGGAAAAAGTTCGAGGTCGTGCACGTGGTTCTTTGGAGTAACGTAGCCGACGTCCTCGACTTCGAGGAGAGTTTCCGTACACATGTTTCCGAGTTACCCTGGTTGGCTGTACCGAACCTCGACTACGAGAGGAAGGTAAACTACATCTTCATTCTTTAACGTTTTTCCACTTTCCTGTTTCCTCGCTGCTTTATTATCTTTTTTAGCTTTTCAGTATCTTTGTTGGATAGAATTATAGATATCAATACTCGTCATTTGCATACTGCAAGTTCTTCGAGATTCTAGTGAACGTATAATGCCCTTCTCTCGCTCATCGCACAACTACGCGTGAGTTTCAGTCAAGTTCAATCACGCAAGTTGATAATTTCTCGAAAATAAAAAAAAGTACGTATCTGTCAAGTTCGAGACAACAGTTTCAATAGGTTTTCACAAAACGTCAACGACGACAGCTTTTCCATCGTGCGAGCACTTCGCAATTTTTTTGCGAGTTCTGCAGTACCGACTAGGCTACGATCAACTGAAACGAACATGTATCATTTGAAATTTGTATACATCTGTCTTTCATAAAGTTACACATGTACACACACACACACACACATACACGCACCGTGTGTGTACACAGGAGGAGGCACACATGCCGTTATGCAGAAGGACCGAGCGTGCAGCGCCTTTTTTATTTCCAACGGGTGTTTTAACCCCTCGCCAGACGTGCTATTTAGGGTCCGATTTTATTTGCACCGACACACGATGCCGACTCGACTTTTTCTAACTGGAAAAAAAAATCGTTCGTATAATATTTTCCGCAAAATACCCGCTCCTCCAGAGAAGCGTGTTGCTACGTGTTCTTCAATCAAGATCAAACGTGCTTTTTAGTCGATGTTAATACTCTTTCCTAGCAAACTGTTTTTACTTTTGCTGTACCATTCTTGTCTTTCTTTTTTTTAAGTAATGCATAAAAATGACAATACCAGAAGTTCAAAAGTTGGCAAAACGATTTTCCCCTGGAAGAACGTGGAATTTCAAATTGGACAGTTTTACCGAGAAGGGAAGTTTCTTTGGAAAAAAAAAATTTTTTTTTGATTGAAAACAAATGAAAGGGTAAATGGAAATTCGCACGAAAATACGATTCGTTGCGATTAAAAAGCAGACACGTTCGTACATTGATCTTTTCATCACCCACGCACCTAGATGACGCACGTATGCGTATCTCTTGTCTCGAAAGTTGGAGCGACACTGCGTTACATTACAACACTTTGCGCACGCATGGTGGATACTCGATTTTCCCCATACTTTTTACCCAACTTAACGAGCCTCTAAGCGTCGCGTTGGAGCGACGAAGCGAGAAGAATAGAGACGAGAAAGGAGAAAGAATCGAGGAAAGAAAGTAACCCGTGGTTCTTTACACGGTGCTTTTACGCAGCGATTTACGTTGACACTCGTTTGTACTTGTGCACTAATAGAGATGCCTTGAAATTACTACGTACAACAGTTGTTGTCGCATACTTGTTGGATACGTACGTATTAACAGCATGTGAACGTAACAGACGATCTGTCTTTTCTTCTCTTTTTTTTTCCACGATCATTAGTCAAGCCACTCGGAGTCGTTGGTGTTTGCGATATATATACATATACCTGGACCCTATAGTATATATATGTGTATGTCTGTGTGTGTGTGTGTGTGTATATACACTTGATAGCTGATTCGCGAGTAAATGTAACGATAAGCATCCTGCGCAATTAGCGTCAAGTAGCCTCGTGATTCCTCCTTGCTCGTTATTCCGCCTATCCTCCTGATCCACGTTGGAAATCACCCCCCTTGAAATCGCAGGTTCTTTGTATACAGTTCCATTCATTTAACAATGAGAAGAGCAACTTTCCGGAAGGTTCCGGAACCTGGTCGCAACAAAACGAAACGAGAGAAAGAAAGAAACGATCGGATTTTCCTCCTCCTCCTCCTTCTGTCTCTTCGTCCTTGTTTCTCTACGTTCCCCCAACTCGCGTTGAAAGTAAACACAGGAACGGAGGAATCCGGATTTGTTGATGGTCAACAGCCTGCAAACAACCGCGCGCGACCTAAGTAAATTTTCAACCCGGCTCTCTCTTTATTCAAAATAAAGGCAAAAAGACCATAGAACGACCGTAGTTCGTTAGAGAGACTTAGCAGAACGTATTCGACAGAGATTATGGTTAATAACGCGTTCTATCGCTACCCCATTGTTCCCAAGCTTCCGTGCATCGTTAATGCAGTCGGTATTGATCTCTGGTGGTGGCCGAGGCAGTCTCTTTGTGCGATTCTTTAAGAAGAGAGGAAGGACACTGATACCAAAGGACAAAATTGAGAACGGTTGATGGTAGAGTAGCATCCGCTTAAGCATCCGTCGCTTGGAATTCTTAGAATTGAGACTATCTCACTCTACGCTACCTTACCTACCGTGCGACCTGCCGGAGACCGCGTGAAACATGACAGTTGCACGATACAAACAGAGTGATATCCAATACGATATTTCGGCATAATTTGCAAAATACATCTCCCCACTTAAGCGTCCGTCCTCGGTCCCAATCGTACCGGACACTTGGGGTAGAGGACACTACTGTACATATCAAGGAAACGACCACTGAGTGTCTCCCCGGCTGTTTCAAGCAGCTAGACCGGATAATAGAGGCGCGCTGCTCATCGTTTGTACGACGTAAACCGCTTCATAAAGGGTACACGGTCCGGCTTTGCCCCGGACCGGGGAAGCCGACCTGAGAAAGAGGAGTCAAGCCGGCCGGCCAGCCTTTGCATTCGGGGTGGCCGACCCATATCTTCCGCAAATAGCTTTCTCATTCGGCCGGCGAGATCAAGAAAACGGCGAAAGGTAGCGAGCCAAAGGGAGAGAGAAAACACGTGTTTACGTTTCAGCCTAGCACCGTGCTAGAAGAAAGAAGGGGCGATTCGGTGGCGATGCACATCCTTCCACTGCTCCCCTCTGGCGCGTGAACGACTGAAACACAGCAAAGAAGAAGGAGAAAAGAACCGGGAGAGAGAAACGTTGAAATCTAGATGTACTTTGAGCCTGAGTTTCGTATACCGAGTGGGCCCGTACGCGGCGCTGTGCAACCCTTCTCCATCCCACCCACACCCGCGCCCGTTTCCACCCCCTCGTGTCCGCCGTCTGCTTTTTGCCTAGCATATCGCGCAGATTACACACGACCTACTCAGCACCGGTCAAAGGAAATGCGAGGTACGTGCGAATCGCCCGAATAAATGTATCCCGGTGTGCCTGCGACTCGCGTGAAACCCCACCGAATGCTTTGACGCCGCCGCGCTGCTCTGCCGATAAAAGTAGCGAAAAGTCGCGCGAAAAGAAAATCAAGTCGTTTCTCGCGGAACCTGCCGATGCTCTTCCGATGTCTCTTATCTGTTTACGTAATTCGTCCTCTTCAATTGCACGCTAATATTCATCTTGATTAATCCAATCTTAATTTTCCATTTCGGAATTTTTTTTTTTTTTGTTTTTCCTTTGCGAGTGTGTTCTATTTTGTACTTTGCGCAAAGTATTCACATTTTTTCGGCGGATATGAAAATTAGAGTGCAGAATAATAGTAGAACAGGTCAATCTTTGGGATTGACAATCCTGAAATATTCTTTGGAAAAATAGTGGGGATATTTCGAAGGGGGATACAATCGTCTCAAATTACAATCGTGCCGTCCATAACCCTTGCGAGATCGATCCTTAATAGGACGCAGTTCTTCCATGGTCAAGTAACATTTTCAAGTCGCGCACACAGACGCGTTCGCGTGTAATTGAGAGCACGGCGGTCTTAAGGCGCTGCTGGGGTTGACCAATGGAAACACAGTGGTCTCGTCAGTCTCTTGGTCAGACGAGAAACGTCGGGAGAGACCCACGATATCTGTATATACCAGGGGTGCGCAACTCCGAATACCAGGGATTCGTAACATCACCTTTACGCGAGATCGATTGACAATATCCACGAATCAACAAATATCTGTTGTACCAGATTTCATCTGACGTAACGGTACGTGAAATTTTCATTTAATTTTGCGTAAATTTGACAAAGAAATTTATTACTAAACTCTTCTTTTGAAACTTATTAAAAAGTACCAGAGATCCGCAATACATTTTGATTTGATCTAACGCAACGGTACGAACGTATGTGTCAATTTTTATCTAATTCTGCGTACACTCAACGCAAAAAATAATTTAAAATTGTAACAATTCCATGCGAAAAGAAATTCAACGAGAAAAATTCCGCCATCTTCAATTCTGAAATTAACCCTCTATGGGCCGAATGTTTTTCTTGACTGTAAAAAAAAATTCATGTAACATAGAAATCAACAAATATCAATCTATAAATACAGATTGACAATGAACTCAGCAGTTTCGACAATTTGATTGTAACGAATAATAAAATTGACATTTCAGAATAGAGATGATAACTGATTATGTGAGAATGTTGCACTGGTTAATAAGGGGACATTGTACAATAAGACGCATACGCCATCTTGTGGGAAAAAGTTCAATTATTTAATAAAACATCGATATATTGGTGTGCATTTGAAAGTTACACTGGCCCATAGAGGATTAAGATAACAGGTGATAGATGGTTCTTTCGCGAGTAAAGCAAAAATATGTCACAAGCGTAAAATATGTTATGAAATACTTGTGGTGAAATGTGGGGGTCTAGAAAATTCTTCCGGAAAATTTAGCGCGACAAAGCGCGCGTTGTGCACCTCTGCCGTTCACGAAGGAGGCGATTGAACGCGCGCGAACGAGTCAACAGTGATCTCATCCCTTCCTCTCCATCGCTCGTCTTCTACCCGATGCCACGGCACGGCAAGGGGTTCCCGTTGCCGAGGAGAGGGCTACTACAAGCCGGCAGAGTGTCTGCTGGGAAACGAGGACTAAAAAATCACGCTCCATTTTTCCTCCTCAAAAGAAAAAAAAAAAAAAAAAAAAAAAAAACATCGTCCTCCCGTCCGTGATACCGTGCGTCGAAACGTGCGAGAAAGAAGTTAACAGAGTTACCAGAGGAGATTTGAAAAGAAGAAAGTTCGCGTAAGTTCTGAGTAGTTGGTATTG